GGTGGAGGTGCTGCACAAGCCGTTCCTCTGCCACCGCAGGACGAAGTGGGGGGATATGATGCTGGTTCACTACGAGGGCTACTTGGAGAGGGATGGCTCCATGTTTCACTCCACGTAAGTGGGCGGCTCGTCTGCGAGCGAGAGGGTGGGAGGGCCGGCGCGGGGAAATGTGTATATACTTATCATGGAATATTAAGGGGTTGGGATGGACCTTGAAGATCGTCTAGTTCCAGCTGAGAGAATTGGGTTTGTTCAGCCGGGAGAGCAGAAGGCTTCGTGGAGACTTTATCGTGGCTTCCCAGTACCTGAAAGGAGCCTGCAAGAAAGGTGGTGAGAGACTACTTGCAAGCGCATGTATTGGCAGGATGAGGGGGAATGGCTTTAAACTGAAAGAGGGTAGGGTTAGATTTGATGCTAGGAAGAAATTCTTTGCTGTGAGGGTGGTGAGGCCCTGGAACAGGTTGCCTAGAGAAGTTGTGGCCGCACCATCCCTGGAAGTGTTCAAGGCCAGGTTGGATGGGGCTCTGAACAACCAGGTCTAGTGAAAGGTGTCCCGGCCCATGACAGGGAGGTTAGAACAGCATGATCTTTAAGGTCCCTCCCAACCCAACCCATTCTGTGATTTTATGATGTGGACGCTGGTTTTGGTATGTGATTTTAACAGTTTAATAGGCCTTGTGCTACGCACGAATTTCTGTCTGGTTTCTAAAGCAAAATTCTAGGGCAGAAGTCGTCTCTAATTAAAAAAAAAAGGAAATAAAAAGAAGTTATATACGCGCTTTCACTACCGGCAGCACAACGACAGCTTTTCATTACTCGAACGGCGTGTTCTTCACCTGCCCTCGACCAGACGAGTCAACATTCCAGAGCCACAGTAATGCAAATAGGAGGAAGAGCCAGAAATTCGAGGGAGTCTGCTAAGAGCCTGCAACGACTTGCTAATGTTGGATATCCTGTGAAATCTGAACGAAGTGTTAATGTTGGGAGACAGCAAAATGCTCAAGTCTCTGCAGGCTATGTCTGAAGTTTACTTTTGCGGAACATATTTGAAAAGAAAAAGACAAAGTTTTGCATGTTTATGCTCTTGCGGATGAGTCAAACTAAAATCTCACTAATTTTCTCTTGTAGTTAACCTGCCTCTCTAAAAGGACTTCTAGTGACATTCTTAAGTTTTTGCTGCAGACTAACTTCTGTAAGTGCTCTGTTTTCTTGTTAAACACCTTTCCTGCACGACTAATAAATAGAGCCTTTAAATTCTGTGCCTGTCAGTAGAGTGAAAATAGCCCAGGTTGTGCCACCCGGTTGAATTGGAAAAGGGGCTTTTCTCCACAACTAAAACTTGAATGTTTTGCATGCACTCATTTCTGGTTTTCTAGACTTATCTATTGTGTAGTTGTTTTGATTTTGTCTTTGTTCCTTCGTGGCGTTTTTGGAAGAGATGTGGCAGATTCTTCTAAGCAAGGTAAAAGGTATATTGTAATCCCGCCCAAGGTGGTTTGTGGTTTGCAATTTACTGAAGAGCATGCATGGCATTCATGGTAGATTCTTAAGGAGAAATGCCTTTATAGTCTGATCAGTTTCCAAGTGGAAATAGGTGATCAGGGAAGTGAAGGTGGGGATCCAGGTTGCTCAGTGTTGTCATTAACGCACCCTGTAGATGTTTTTTTTCTTTCCATTTCTGAAGGAACTTTGCGTGCAAATTTCAAGTTTTAAAGACTTTAAAAGTCTAGGTCTTTCATTGAAGAAATATCCAGGTGCCAAATGGTGGTGTGTTTTTAGTTATATATCTATGTTATGAGCGTATTCCATCTGCTCCACGTGCCTTTTATGAAACTTGGGTGTTGAAATGATAAGTGTTTTATTCCTTTCTTTTCCAGTCACAAGCATAACAATGGTCAACCTATGTGGTTTACACTTGGCATAAGGGAAGCTATCAAAGGCTGGGACAGAGGCTTGAAGGACATGTGTGTGGGAGAGAAGCGGAAGCTAACTATTCCACCAGCCCTTGCTTATGGAAAAGAAGGGAAAGGTAAAACATTTGAAGCTCATCCCTTACTTTAATTTTAATCTGTGTATTTTGCAGTTATTCTTGGCCTAAGAGGGTAGCAAGCTTTCAAGCTGTCCAGGCTGATTCTGTTCAATAAGAAAATTGATGAAATCAGATGCTCTTTCTCAAATCTATTTTCTGCAGAAATAACCATTCAGTGCTTGTGTGGTGAATGCATGAAAAGAAACCCAGAAATTGATGGTAGCTGCTGTGCTGTATGTTCTAAATGTCTTTTCTGTTAGTGCTGTGCTCAGTAGTGCCCTGCTTTTTGTTTTCTTCCTTTCCTTTTTTTTCCTCCTTTCTTTTTACAGTCAAGTGGAGGTGGTTGCTTAGGTAACAGTTGGCCTTTTGGCTGTTGCATCTGTTTTTGTGGTAATACTTCATGAATGTGCATGTGCAAGCCTTATTCTTGCTTGCAGGTTCCTTTCAGAATGCTAAGAAACTCTGCATGCTGCTGCCTAACCAGTTCTTAGCTGATATGGTGAAAAGTCACTGTTTATTTCTTCTTTTAGGGACAGTAATTCCTTCCCCCTTACAGCTATTTTTCTATTTGGGCAATGGTCCCTGTTACTCACTAGTAGGTCCCCCTTACCCCTAGTAAGATGTGCAGGTGCATGAACAGTCATGTTGTCACCTACTGAAAATGTACTGTATGGTGTGCAGGCAGATACAAGCATTACTTGTAGGGTTTTCTGTCTGTCTGCTACTGAGGTATTTAGAGGTTTTCCTTTCAGATATTTTCAGATTCCTGTTTTAATGGAAGGCCTAGATTTGGAATATGCAGTTAAACAGCTCGAATGATGCAGGAAGGTTCTAATTCTGCTTTACAGGTTTTTTTTTAGTTCACTTATTTGAACAATTACGAATATTTTGTCGTGACAAGAGTTGCCACAAATGACAACTTGCTAAGGCAATGCAACACTTTATAGCAGAAAGGATAAATGTCTCAAAACACATAATTCACCTTCCTACGGTCCTGTCCCATTGATTTGAGATTCTTTTAGGAATGAGGAGTGTTTGCATGTCTGTATCTTCTGGCCAGTAGGGCTGAACAGTACAGTAGTACTTCATGCATACAGCATACTCCATACCCTCCTTTTTTTTGGAAGTATCAGCTTAAAACATTTTTCTAGAAGCCTTGGTTTGGGGTTCAGAACATAGTATTAGAAGTAATCATGTTTCTAGTAGAGGACAGAAAACTTGTGGTGGTGAGTTAGTTGACTGTATGCAGGGCACAGCTGTAAATTCTTGCTCAAAAAGATATGAAATGCTGCAGTGTTCATGTAGTCATAATTGCTTTGATTAATATGTAAAACTCTAAGTTGCTTTTCAAAGGCTTGTGAACCTCACCTCTGTGTGTAGTACAAGGAGGTTAAACAAATAAACGCTGCAGGAAATCACTTGCTTTAGGAAAACTTTGAAGTATTTGAGCATAATTATGTTGCTATTTTCAAATGATGCCCTTGAAGACAGAATTATTCCATTTTCTTCATGTTTTTCTCCAAATGCAAATAATTTCACTAGCCTCCCACTTTGCTTGCTTGTCTGACTCATTATTCGAGTGACAATCCTTTTTCTGTAACACTCAGAAAAATTACCTGTGCTCCAGGCTCAAAGCAGGGCACTATGCCCTGTTTTTCCAGAAGTTTTTGCACGTTTATTCGTCCCAGAAATCTACAAGCCTATTTGTTGCTGCAGCTCAGAGTGTATTTAACACCATCTCTCCAAAGTAGTAGATGTGGATTAGTTGGGGTTTTTTTCCCCATCTTCTCAAGGCAGGGTAATATTTTTGGGCTGCTGCCATCCTGTATAGAAATACATTTTGTCCCATTCTACGTCTCTCTGTATAAAGGAGCAAAGTGGTGTGCTAAAAGGTCTTTGACAGTAGCTTCAGCCATCAGTATGAAGACATATCACATCCCTGTAAAAGCTATGCCTGAAAAACTGAAGTCCTTGAGGGGTGGTGGCATGGGAGGGTAGGGTGGGGGTGGCCTTTGGCACTATTGGGAAGTTACTGATCTGTTCACCTGTATCAAATATGACATTATGCTAACACATGGCTTTTGGTCAGGTTTATATTCGTAGTTTCTGTTGTGTGTTTGGAAAATAGCTCAGTGCTTTGTGCAGCAGTCCAGAGGCAGCTGTGGGATACTGACAGATTACTGGCCTTCTGACTTGCTCTGCAAAAAGAGGTTTTCCAGTGGCAGAATAGCAGACGTAAGGTGTCAGTTGGCAGTGGAGGGGAATTTGGAGGCTGGCAGGGTTATGGTGTATCAGGAGGACTGAATTCTCCCTTCTTGCTGCCCTGTCCATCAGTCTTGGCTGTATGCTGCAGTGGTGGCCACCTGGTTGGCTGTACAGTCTCCTTTACTGTTTTCCACTTTATCTGGCTGTGGCCATGGCAAAACATTCCAAGAATGTTGTCTGATAAACTTATGATGATGATTGCTAACTAAGAGCTTGCATCAACACCTACTAGTCTTCAACAAAATTAGTTGCATCTAAAGTTGCATATGTGCATATGTAAGGGCTGCTCAGAGCTCCGGCTACAGTCTGAACTGGTTACAGTTATCACTGTTACAGATACTTATCCTTGTTAGTTCAAATTGAAGGATGCTTTGAAATGGGTGGGATTTCTGGAACATCGCTCTGATGCATATGGCTTTTGTATGGCACTGAATATGTAATTGTTTTTAACTTTTCTCCATTTTGGGCAGGAAAAATTCCACCTGAGAGCACATTGATTTTCAACATTGACCTTCTAGAAATTAGAAATGGACCAAGGTCTCATGAGTCCTTCCAAGAAATGGATCTTAATGATGACTGGAAACTGTCCAAGCAAGAGGTGAGTGAGTTACCCTTCTCCTGTGGTCAAACCTAACAAGATGGGATTGTGGAAAAGGAAAGATAAGCTTAACTTGATCCTGTTAGGAAAGTACCGAAACACAAGTTAGATTTTAGCTACTGCTGTGCAAAGAGCAACTCAGCAAGCAGAATACACAGTGCTTAATGCTTAAGGGAATTATTTATTGGGTGATGCACAGTTCAGGTAACTAGGGACTAAGGAGTTGTCAGCATAACTGCTGAAGCACTATGCTTATCATTAAAGGTAAAACACCCCAAAAGTCACTGATGGCCAAGGCCAAGTGGTTATTAGTCATGTGGAGAAGGGTGAGTGTCTGTTCTTCTCTGGAGATGATTTTCATTGTTGCTTGTCTTGTAATTCTTTGCTTTTTATGTTTTTTTTTGTCTTTTCATGCTGGTGTCTTTCTTGCTGAATGCTACTGAACTACTATTTTTGGCTCAATAATTAAGTTCCTGTCTGTGCTGTGCCTTTCTTGCATGGCTTCAGCTCCCATACTTTCTTGCACCTTAACAACAGATTTTTTCAGTAAAAGTAAGCCAAGGATGCACATCAGTAAGCTGAGGCACAGACTTGTGACCCATGTGTTCTGCTGTAGGGCGGTCCTGTTTTGTAGCATTCACTCTGTGAAGGACATGTATTCAACATTATTCACCGTCTCTTTGCCTCTTATTTGCAGTCTTCTGCTTTTCCAGTGTGCAAAAGTGATCCATGAGAAGCTAGTTATAAACCACTGAGCTCTTTTTGCTTTGGGCCTGGTACAGTTTACTAGGCCCAGAAGGCTAATAATTTGTGCTATGCATCAGACAGTCAGTGTGTCTAATGTCTGTGTATTGGAAATGTAAGCAATGACCCTAACAAATACCAGAGTGTGAAATGAATAAAACAGACCTGAAACATAACCCATTTATCTGGCTGCTACCAGTCCACTGTTACCGTTGTTATACAAGAGGTATCTGTTTAACAGATGGGTGTGCTGGTATTGGTATTGTAGAAGGTTCTGCAGTTCAGAACACTTCGGATCTCAACAGTTAAACCTTAAAAACTCAGCAAAAATTATCTGATGCTGTTCAAAACACTGCTTACCATTAGTAACTAGCTTAGCGTAACTGTTCCAGTCATCTGTTTAAAAGCTGCCTTGAATCTTTGTCCTTCCAAATATTGAGATGTCTAGAAATCTTTTAATGTAGTTCCCATTAGAGCAGCAAATGCAGATATTGTGGACAGATTTCTGTATATATTTTGGGTGGCTGTTTGCATCTCCTGGTTTGCCGAAGTGGTAGGATGTGCAAAAGCTGTTTGGGTCTCTGACTAATAACTGACTAATAGCTAATAACTCCTACCTAGCTATTTATACTGTATAGACATCAGATGACAAGGCTGTCCTGGCTCATTTTTCAGTCAGATACCATAAAGGTATGGCAACAGGTTTGCTAGTTTTACTGTCACTTATATTACTAAAGACTCTTCACTCACAGGGACTGTAGAATCAGTTAGACAAGTATTACTCTGGCAGTGGCATAGGAAGGAAGATATATATTATCTAATACTACCATCCTGAACATAGTGGCCCTCTCTTATGCTGCTGTAATCAGTTCTTTCATAAGCCTAAAAATGTTGTCTCTCCCCTTGTTGTTTAATAGGTGAAAATTTACTTGAAGAAAGAATTTGAAAAGCACGGTGCAGTGGTAAATGACACCCAGCATGATGCTCTGGTTGAAGATATATTTGATAAAGAAGATGAAGACAGTGACGGGTTTATATCTGCAAGGGAATTTACATACAAGCATGATGAGCTGTAGAAAAGGGTGGCATAATTTTTTTTGACACAAATAGCAGTGACTTAGACTGTCTGGTTCTCTTGTCATCTTTATTCTGTGTTTTGGAGTTGACAGCTGCTGTTGGCAAAGAAACACTTTGTTTATATAAAAGAGCATTTCTGTTCATTATGTACAAATGTGTTAAACTATTTTAAAGTAAGAAAATGTGCCTCCTTTTATGCAGTGAAAACTTGCACATCAGTGGTTTTTTTTAGATTTTGTATTAACTTATTTTTTCAGAAATGAAACAAACTTTCCAGTTACAAAACACTGTGAAAATCAAAATCCAGTTCTGTGACTTTCTGTGACTTTTTTATGTGCCAAGATCACTTTCAGCAACTGCTTTTGTATAACTTCTGGTCTGTGGCTTAATTACTTGACCTTCCTTCTTGTGTGTCACTGCTTAAAAAGCAGTGTGCTGACCTTGGGGTTTTTTTCCTGCAGATTTGAAAAAGATGTACGAGAAGGCATCAGCATCTCTTTATACAGCTGAGAAACTGATACAAAGCTGAATGAGAAGAATGATTATCCTGTGCTGATTTTTGTCCTTCCAAAGGGAGAGTGTTACTACCCACCAGTAATGGGCTGCATTTTTGTTAAATTACGTGAACAAAGCAAAAGTTAAATGTTTTCACTTCTACTGCCAAGAACATTCTAGGAAATGTCTGTGATTTGGATGGCAGCAAGTTATGCTGCAGTGCAGAGATGCCGTCCTCTAGATTGACACACACATTGGCTCTGAAACTTGGAGTTTGCAGTCATGAAACAAGATCATACGTTTCTCCTCTCACAGTTTGAGGGAGATCTTAGAAGAGGTTACAAGGGGAACAGTGTTCTGACAGGAGGATTGGTATAGCCTGAAGCCCAGTTTGCATTGGCTTGCCTGCTTTGCAGCTGCATCAGTTGCAGAACTTGTTTCAGTGCCCTTTTGCAGTATTTTTCACAAGTAGCACACAAGTGATGTGAATTTTGAATAATAAAGTGAACTTTTTAGAAAAATAGAGGCATGATGGAAGTGCTGTGGTGCTGTGTCTTTACAGAGGTGGAAATCATGAGGAATTCAAACACAAAAGGGGATTGTTTGAACTGTTTTTAGAGAGGAAGAAATGTTTTGCAGTTGTCTGTGGTTTCTTAAGTGATAGGGCAACGTATCTCAGGGAAAGAATGATCCTGTATTCTGACATCACTAATCTGTGGGTCTATGAACACAGCATTGTACTTCAAAAATGGTGCACAAAGCTATGTAAGGACACAAAGCAAATCCAGTTGTATGAAACCAAGATTGCTGCATTGCACTAGTCCGTAACCTAATCCTATTGCCGAGTGAGACTCTGCATTCAAGGTTCTAGATGAGCTAGACGTTTCCCTGCCACCTAGTGTTAGAAATAAGGATTAGAGGACTTCATGAAACCGAGTTCAGCTGCATATGGATATTACAGATTCTTATCAATAATGACTGTTCTGGTGGGGGTGGGAAGGGTCTAAGTGAAGGCATGCAGTGTTTTTGGGTTTTATGTTTTGGTTTGGTTTTCTTCCAGCATCTGACATTTTGTAGTTGATGTTCTAAGTGATAGGGAATTGTAGCAATGGATTTTGTTTTCAATAAGCTTTAGGTCTCTTTTCTCAATCATGCCATCTAGTTTTCTTGAACCAATTTATAGTGTTCCTTCTATAGCAGTGAGTTTCAAAGTAGAACAGTGTAGGAAAATATTTCCCTTTGGTTTTAGGCTTGTTGCCTTCCCTGATTCTTTTATTGTGAGGAAATAATGAATTATTGTTACCTATTTAGCTCTTCTTACCAGTCATGATTTTGCATATTGATATTTTTTCTCATCACTTATGAAAATCAAGCTTGCCTGACTTCAGCTTGCCCAAGGCTGCTTACATGTTCTGTACTGGATGTCTTGATTGCCCCTACAGTCACCAGAACACTAGGCACCTGGGGGGAGCTCATCTCATGTCTGCTTTTTGTGTTGTATTGGGATAGATGCCTTATCAAGTAGTTTCCTGTCTTTCTCTGTTGACTACATGGGCAGCCTAGGCAATTAGTATAGCCTAGGCCAAGGAAGGCTAATAGGATATGAAGATCCTTAAGGCAGTCTTGCCTAAGATGTGGGACCTGGCAGGTAGCCAATCAACCAAAGGGGGAATACTGTGTGTGTACTGCCAGGAAGAGCAAATTTGAGACTTATATTGGCTCTGTCAGGGTTTTAGACCATTGTTTGAAGTGTTTAGGATGTTCTCAGAACATGTGGCTGGGGAATGAAATAAAAGCATGAAATAAAACTTGGCCCAAATTACTGACCAAACATATAAAAAATTAGGCTTAAGTGATGGTGTGCCAGTCTGTGCCTTCAGTAAGGGCCAATTGTTGTTTCTTTTGTATTACATAATAGGTCAGAGTCAGTGAATGCTGTGAAATGTACATGTGCATTATCTTCTCCCTGGATTTTTAAAGCATTTCATACAAATAACTTTCAGTGAACATACAGTTATTTGTTAATTACAGTAGAGTTTTAAAGCTGCAGGACCAAGATACTTTACTTGGTGTTTACTTGGTACTTGCCAAACGAGAGGATGGTTTTGTTGTCAGGAATTTTCTTGAGAACTGTGCTAAATTTCTGAACTTGAACTGAAAATGTTTTTTTCGAAAGTGCAGAATCAGCAGAAGATTTGAGAAGTCACTTCAACTTTATTACTGTTGGCTATTGTTAAAGTCCTCCTGTGAAGATGAAGGGATTTCTTAGGTAGAAATAGCATTGACTGTCTTAACCTCAGTTGCATCTGCTTGTTAATCCACAGGGCAAACTGCTGCAGTGCCACCAGGAGCCAGCCAACTACCTGCAGGAAACCAGAGTCAGGCAGCTGCCTGTCCCCTGAGGTGGGGAGGGACATTAGAACTTGCACGGCACTCAGCAACATTTTGGCTGGTTTGTGCATGAAGTGCAAGGTGTATTTGCCCTAAAGAAAGAAGCCTTCATTGTGCATCCGTAAAAATGTGGAGAGGGTTCAAAACAGAGCACTTTTCTTTCTGCATGTTATAGCCTTCTTTGTATGTTTCTTGTTGTTTTCTGGTGATGTGGGAAAATACGTAGTGATGGTTTTCAGAACTGCAGCCTGTCATTCACAGCCACTACCTAGCAATTACAGTGGGAGTTGCTGCCTCCTGTAGGTACAGAAGCAGCCTTCAGAGCACATTTTATTTGAAAATTCTTGATATGCAATGCAATGATACAAGAAAGCTTTTGGCAAAGCTTCAGGAATGGTGCTTATAGTCTGAAATGTCTTGTAAAGCTTTCTCTTTTGAGATCAACTGACAAGGCAAACAGTGTTGAAAATGAAGGAATCACTTTATTTGGTCTTCAGTCTTTTAGTACCTTATACCATAGAATCATTTATGTTTGAGATCATCAAGTCCTGCTGTTAACACTGCCAAGTCCACCACTAAACCATGTCCCTAAATGCCTCACCTACACATCTTTTAAATATCTCCAGGGATGGTGACTCCACCACTTCCCTGGGCAGTCTGTTCCAAGGCTTGACAACCCTTTTGGGAAGAAATTTTTCCTGACATCCAATCTAAACCTTCCCTGGTTCAACTTAACGTTTCCTCTTGGCCTGTGGCTTGTTACTTGGGAGAAGAGGCTGAGCCCCCCAGCCTTGCCACAACCTGTTGTCTGGTAGTTGTAGAGAGTGAAAAGCTCTTCCTCCTCAGCCTCCTTTTCTCCAGACTAAACAACCCCAGCTCCCTCAGCCACTCATAAGATCTCTGCTCCAGACCCTTCACCAAACTCGTTGCCCTTCTCTGGGCACTCTCCAGCACCTCAATGCCTTTTTTGTGATGGGTGGCCCAAAACTGAACACAGGATTTGAGGTGCAGCCTCACCAGTGCCGACTACAGGGGGATGATCACTGCCCTGGTCCTGCTGGTCACAGTATTTCTGATACAAGCCAGGATGCCATTGGCCTTCTTGGCCACCTGGGCACACTGCTGGCTCATGTTCAGCTGCCTGTTGACCTTTGCTGACAGGTGGCTTTCCAGCCACTTTTTTCCCCAGCCTGTGATACTGCTTGTGGTTGTTGTGACCCAAGTGCAGGACCTGGCACTTGGCCTTGTTGAACCTCATACAATTGGCCTTGGCTCATTGATCCAGCATGTCCAGATGTCACTGTAGAACATGTCCCTGTGCTGCCAGGAATATCCCCAGTATAGATGTGTTCTGGTGAGTACTGTATGTTACAGTGTCATAAAGTTGCAGTGTTAAGTACATACTGAAAAACTGCTACCATAGTTTCTTCTTCATGGTATTTAAATGAAAATGATACATAGTTTGTTTCCAGAGTACTTCAGTGTAAAATTAGGTGGTACAGATCAGCCCTTAAATTACAATTATCTTTGTCATCCCATCATTTCTGTGGTTAGATATGAGGTGGTCTATCCCTTGATCCATAAATAGTAGTTTCAGATGGCCGATGAGTACCAGTGGGATTGGGAAAGCTCACTGCTTTGGGCATTCCAAGAAAAGGAGTAAAGCTGGGGGAAATGTGGTCAGAGAGAGTGGAATTATGCAGAGTGATGTGAGAAATGCAAAAGATTTTGTTTCCTAGATCCTTTGGCATCTGCTTACTTGCAAGAAGGAACACTGGTAGCCACTGATGTAGGCACTGCAAATAGCAAGGCTAGTTCCTGATCTGACTTTAGTTAGAAACCACTGCTTCAGACAGTTTCTATATGGAGTTTTATGACAAAGTTTACCTTCACACTTCCAAGGTACATTAAAGAATATTCAGAATAAGTACGTTGAGTTTGTTTCTTGAAAATACATTGGCTTCGTCATACAGCTTTTTCAAAAAAACCACCACCACAGCCCACTACCCCAAACCCCTTCATTTGTCTAAAGCGATGGATTGTTTTTGGTAACAGGAAATAAACCAAAACTGCTTATATTTGTATAATCCTGGATAATTTTAGCTTCTCTTGAAAGTTAATCGTAATGCTTCCATTCTGTGTCCTAGTTTTCTCCTGGTTCACAGGAAAAACAACTCTGACAAAATAAGGATCTTTCTTTAGCTATACTGCTTCTGTTTTCATGCCTGTGCTTGATTATGTCAACAGTTTCACACAAGGAATGTAATT